GAGCACCTGGGAGAGGCTCTGCCGGGCCAGGCTGCTGGGGTTCTCCCCGGCTGCTTTGGTTCCTTCGGAGCAATAACGGCCAAACAGAGGAGAAATCGGATGCCGTTTGCTGGCATCACATCAGCAGTTGTGGCACCCACTAAGAACTTAGCCAAACATACTAAAAGGTCGCCGAAGGTGCATTAGCTGTACCCATGAGGCATGTGCTGAAAGCGTCTTTAAACATTCCTGCCTTTGGGCATTGCAATACTGGCGTGTTTTCACAGGTGTGTTCCAGTGATGACCCAGTCTGCACAGCCTGGAAACTTTAACATAAAAATTGCTGCATAAATAAAACGTGATGTGAGAGATGGGATCCTGAGCCAGCAGAAGAGCACTAGATTCCTAACAGCTTAGAGATGTCACTGGCTTTCTGAATGTCATTTTCTAACAGCAGAAGCATCAGTGTTGTGTAGCAAGCAATACCAAAGTAAGAGGAAAAGGTGAAACATGCTTTCTCTGCTAAACACAGCAAATCTAAAAATATTTTTGCGTATCTCTGAATTACCTTCATTGTCTCGCAGAACCCAAATGTTAATATATTTTTAATGGAATCATTGTTAGAACAACTTCAGAAAGGACAAGAGGCCCTCTTCTTCAGAGACCTTTATTGCAAACTAGTATTTGCCTCTTGAGCAAGAAGATGGTTTCCTGACGTTTGGTAGAGTTGAGCAGGTCTCCGGGAGAAGCTGTCGCAGGCCTTGTTTGTTTCTCAGTTCTTTAACCTTCAGCTTCCTTCCCATGTTCAAACTCCCATGACTAGAGTGAAGGCAGCAAAATGTTTTCATTGCCTGGACTAAATTTTTCCTTTCACAAAACTACCACCTCACATGGTTTCAAGTCTTTCCGCAGAGGCCTGTACCAGTGCACAGCTAGTTAGTGACAAAGAGCTCCTGGGTTCCCTGGCTTGCAGGAGGAGCAGTTCTGAGACCGTGGGGCAGTTCATCTTCCAAGTATAAGTAGGCCTCACCAGAGCAGCAAGTTGAGTTTTTGGCCTTTTGATTTCTTCTGACAGGCTTTTTCCTTATTTTTAACGGAACAGAAAGTGTCTGGTCCATTTTGGTCTTTTCTAAGTGTTTTCTGAGGTATGGATGTACTCTTCTTGAATGATTTCATCACTTCACTTTTTTCACCATAAGTTCCAAGGCAGTTAACCACTCTTCAGTGTGTTTTTTCTTTTTCCCCATCTATGTTTATTACAAAAGGATTCAGAGGATGACAATGAGCTTGTGTTTTTCTTCAACTTCTTGCCCGACCTCCCACTGTCAGAAGCTCTCAGTAGATCGTCGCCTGTAGGACCTCCTATCAGTCACCAGCAGGGATGAGCCTGCCTGCCACCTGAGCAGTCATGCCACTATCTGCTTTCTCATGGGACAGCTAAGACTCGCTGTTGGTACCAGCTAGTGCTGCTGGAGACTGCTGAAGCTTCTCCTTTGAAACTGCTCAAGTTGATCATTCCATTGCACCTGCTCAGCAAATGCGAGCATTTACAACTTGAGGTTATTGGTCTTTGGGAATGTAGCTTTAGATTCCTGTTAATTGCTACTTCTTTCGCAATTACTGCATTAGGCAGTGGCAGTCACTCAGCCTATAGGTCTCCCAGGCTGACACCCAGAAATCACAGCCCTGTGTAGATATGCAGAGGTTCCACACAAATACTCAGCTGTTCAGTCCCAAGTCATCTTACATCCTGGCCTAATTATTTCATCATTTTCAGCAATCAACTAGTGGGGGTAGTAAAGGAGAAAGGAGCCTAGTTTCAGATCTCTTGTGTCAGACATAGTGCTGATGGTCACAGGATGATATAAAAACTACAAACAAGATTATTTTCAAACGTATTTCACCAAAATGCAACCATTTCTGATTTTATAATGCTGAGTATTTGTAACCCAGTTTCCATTTTTTGTTTGTTTGTTTGTTCAGACATTGTCCTTGCAACCAGACAGACCTATGGATGGTATCCTGTGAAACAACTGATTAAATTCCAAAATTTCTATTTCCAGAAATTCCAGAACTATTGAAGCAGACTTTAAAAAAATTCTGTTTAATGTCGTTAAAGAGAGTTAAGAGATTTTCTAAAACGAGTTAGCATTTTCAATTTAATGTTCAACTGATGGTTTGAGAATTTCCTTAGAAATTGTATTATTCATGTTCCCAGTTGCACAGTACCATCAAAACCAGATTGATTTTAAGCGTTTTTTTGGCATCTGGAAACCACAAACAAAATGCTTCTTGCTCTGAGTTGTACCAAAATTCTAAAATCCTCAAGAGGGTACATGAATCCTCAATGAGGTTTTTTAATTTATTTTTGGTTTTTATTTTTTTATTTCCACTTTTCCTACAAGTTCTTTTTTTTTTCTCTCCATGGAACAGATCTGCTAAAAGAGCATCAATTGTTGAATTATAAAGAGCGAGGAAATCCTTTTGAGAGGGTATGCGCATATATATGAAACCAAAACCCCTAAGTAACTTCAGAATATGCTCTCTTTCTGCAAAAATTATGTTAAACTTTAACACTTGTTGTTAAAGTAGGAGTAGCAACAGCCACGAGAGGAGTGTTCCCTGAGCATATCTATACAGTGAGTCCTATAGCTGGCGTTTGTAAGACGGGACCCTCATGCCTCCTCTGAGCCTGGTGTTTCCAGTCCAGCCCCACGAGGCCTCAGGCGGGTGTGGGAGCCCTGAGGGGCTTCACTGCGCTATCAAGGTCTTCAGGTTTCCCTGCCCTTGCATCAGTTTGTGCTGAGGGCTGAGGCTGCGTCTGTTGCGGCAAGGCCTGGGCTCGGCCGCGTCCTTAGGGGAAAAAAGGCTCAGCTTGGGAGGGCCTAGTGGCACCCTCGGCCTCTCTTACTTAGTAACACAGGTGCTTCTGTGTTTCAGAAACTGTAAAGCATTGGTATGCATTTGCATTAAGCAGTAGAGCCCAGTCTGTTCTGCTTTGTCACTTACTCTCCCTACCAGTCGCTTTTTAAACAAGCTTAAGCTCTGTTCGTGTGTTTTTAAGCTCTTGTCAAGTGGAATGTGTTTAGTTTCCTTAGTGAATATAAACACATTGCATGCTGAAATGAGGTTGTCTCAACCACAAGTCAGCGTGTAAAAATACTAGATACTTACTGTACTGCTTACAGCTTCATTCTGTACCAGCCCCACCGTACTGTGTCATCTGCTTGAGTACGTGTCTCTGTGTGTGCTTTACAGCAGTAGATAGAACAAAAAAAAAGGTTTCTCTGCCTATTTATGTAACATAGTGCACACATTTTTACTACTGTATATTTTTAATAGGCTAACAGTTGTCATCAGTGATGTCAGAGATCGGACAGATTTATTATGTCAGAGATTCGGAGATTTATTATGTCTTATTGAAAGAGCCATTTTCTCTATATAAAAATACATGGAAAGCAAAAATTGACTGTGATTCTCATTGCGTACAGTTCTTAATCGTATACACTACATGCAAACATGCATTTTGATTGGCTGCAGTAGTCTATCTGTAGTACATAGGTTTGTTCTAAATCTTTAGTAGAAACAGACTACATTTTCATAAGAGCAAAAGAAGCTACACAAAGCAAAATAAAGAGGCTTCAAGCTGCCAGAAGACTACTTATGTACCTGCAATATAGAAGTGAACAATTTTTCTGTGCGTGCTGTTTTCACCCTAGCCTTTTCAGAGCCTTCTTTTCTTTATCCTAAATGCCTCTTCTGCTTGCTAAAAATAAGGATAATTAAATGTCCCTTAAGCAGTGTTTAAATCTGAATAATAAGAACACTTATCCTCTTGAACCTTTCCATGTAGTAAATAAGAAAGGAAAACAGTGGTATCGTGGTGCTGCTTTAGAGAGAAGCTACTTTAAGAGAGAAGGAACTTTAAGATGGGGATTCTAAATACCCATTTTCCCCTGCAGTGACATCAGCAGCATCCTTAAAAGCATCATCTCCAGCAGCACAACTGCCTTTTATATCTGCTGTTTCTGTAGTAATCTAACTTAACTGAAAAGCAAGAGCCTTTTTTCAGATATCAGTTTTAAAGCAGTGCTCTAATTTTTGATTTTAAGAAGCAGCAACCAATAAAAATGTAAATTTAAAAGAACCTTAGAGTCCTTTCCACAGACCTAGTGAAGACTATCGTTTGAACTAACGCACTGTTTTTTCCATTGTCCTCAGTGTTGTGCCAGTATGTGGGTATTACTTCATATGCAAAAGGACATTTAGTTTTGATTTGCTGATGGGCACAGCAAGGGTTTGATGGTGTTGAGAATGAGACTTATCAGTACCGGCTGTTTCTCTGCCCTACTCTTTGAAATTTTCCAATTGCAATCAACAGAAAGTAGTTGTGTGCAGGAATTAAATAACAGCTTTATTTGCAGAGTTAGATTATGTCTGTATATAAGTGCTCTTTTAGTAAATGTTTTACTTATGGTATAATAAAAAAATCTTTTAGTCCGTTAGCCTCCTTTTGCTAAAATGGCAAGACTCGAAGAGCTGTCAGTGTCTTTGAAAATGTGAAGTGTAATGCTTTGAAAAAGAGATTTGCTCATTCATATTTGTCTTCTTATTTTCCTTCCCCTGAGCTTTATTGTGCGACGTATCGGTGTGGAAACACACATCACGTTCATGGGCTTTTGTCTCTTCCTGTTGCTTTGCCTCCTGAAAGTCAGTGTTACTTGGTTTCTGCCATAGCTGATTACTATAGAAATTACCACCACGTCATAAACAGGATTTCATGTGCAGAATGTGCAGTGCGAACACAGATGAATCTGGCAGCAGAAGGTTCCTAGAAATAAGGAAAAAGGGAAGAGCAATGCAGAAAATACACAGCGCCTAGGCAAAGTCTATTGTTACTGATTCTTTCGCAGAAGACATAGCATTCAGGGTAAAGGGGGATTTGCAGGATGTTTTCAAATGACTAAGATGATAAATGTGAATTTGTGTTTCAAGGAATAATTATTTTATTTTGACTCCAGCAGTTGGCACTGGCCAAAGTGATTTCCGTGGCCATTCGATGTATGTCCCTGATCACTGTTCCACGTTAGGGAGACTAGACAGCTATCGCTCTGCTATGCAGCGCTCTGAAACCAAGGACACCAGCTGCCAAACGGAGGACGTGAAGGTTGTGCCCCCTTCGATGAGAAGAATACGAGCACAGAAAGGACAAGGGATTGCCGCCCAGATGTCTCAGTTCTCCAGTTCATCTGGAAACATGTCGGTGATGAGTGATTCTGCTGCAGTTATATTTGCCTCTCGACAAAATAGCGACATAGGTTTTCACAGCTTGCCTCGGGCTGGTGCAAGAGTCTCTCTACAGTCCCTAGAGCAGACCCAGAGCATCTCTAGGCAGACAGAAGACATCGCTGGCACTTTGCCTCACCAGATAAGTAAATTGCAAGTGGATGATAGTGTTGTGCCTCTGAGGAATAACCTCACTACAGGGACCCTCTCAAGGCCAAAGTCGCAGGAGGTGAGAAGTTATGAGAGTGACAAGTCCACAAGCCCAGCATGTGTGGTCTCTCCTCATGCCACCTACTCAACGAGCATCATACCCAACGCAACACTGTCGTCCTCCTCAGAGGTTATCGTTATTCACACTGCCCAGAGCCTTGGATCATTGGATAGTAAGATTACCAGCTCTGCTGCCTACCCGAAGCCAAGAGACAATCCTGTTGCCAGCAATGCAGTAAGTGGAAAAGAAGATCACCATTCGTCAAGCGGTAACTGGAGCGAGAGCAGCTCCACACGCCACTCGCAGGCCTCGGATACTCTGCCATCCACCACTGCCCTGGTGCTTGCTCTGGGTGACTCTGCTGTCTCCCTTAGTGCTGCTGGGAACGTGGAAGCTGGGGCACAGGGGGTGAGCTACAGCTGTAGCAACAATCTTGCCTCACCAAGCCAGTGCCAGGACAGCGATGGCAGGAGTGAATCCAGCTCCTGTGGGGAGCGAGCAGCCGCGGCGGCCAACAGCACCGAGCACTGGCTCTACAAGGCGGCAGAAAGCAGCGAGACTCCTTCACGCAAGGCGGCTTGTGCCACCCCGGGCTGTGCCACCCCTGTGAGCAACCTGAGCAGCGGCAGCCTGGAGAGGACATCGGTTAAAGAAGATTCTACATCTCTGTATTCGGTGGACCACGATGGCTATTACACTTCCATGCATACGGACTCGGGACTCAAGTCAGACCAGCCGTGCAGTAGTACTAATGGTTTTGGGAGCCCCAGGGACAGTGCGATTAATGTTTTTGATGGAAAAGAGAAAAAACATCAGGAAGACCGGTCAGGTCAAACTGACAAATCTCTTGCAAGAAATATCTCTCTAAAAAAGGCCAAGAAGCCGCCTTTGCCACCATCCAGAACAGACTCACTTAGAAGGGTACCCAAGAAAAAGGCACAGTCCAATGGGCAGGTCCTCGATGAAAACCTCATTGCCACCCTCCAGCATTCACTGCAGTTGAACCTCAAGTGCAAAAACGGCAGCTCCCCTTCGCAGAGCCCCTGCAGTGATTACGAGGACCCCTGGGTGCTGCGCTCCCGCAGCCAAAGTTCTGTGAGCGCGAGCAGCAGCATGATGTCCACGGCGGCCCCCAACCTCTACTCCATCTGCACGGTGACGCCCTCCCAGAGCGAAACGAGCAGCATCAAGTCAGAGTACGCCGACCAGTGGGGTTACTACAGTGACTACGCCGCGGTGGCGGAGGACCAGATAAAATCCCCGGTGACTCATTCAGCCAGTACCTCGTCTGCACTCAGCGACTGCAGCAGCAGCCACCTCAGTGATGGTTCCCGGGCTTCAGGGCCGCACGTGCCCAGTGGACTGGCCAAACCAAAGAACGCTTCTCCGGAGAAATCTCAGTGCCCCCCCCAGCCAGTCCAATACACCCACTGCACTTACTCCAGTGCCTGTGTTGTTAAAGTCAACATCATCAGGAAATGGGAAGTCCAAGCTGAAACCTAAAGTGCCTGAAAGGAAATCCTCTCTTCTGTCATCAGTCTCCATTTCTTCATCTTCCACTTCTCTTTCTTCAAATACATCTACTGAAGGGAGCGTGAGCATGAAGAAACCGGAGCCCACACTGAGCTCTCCCCTGGATTCTGGTGCACCTCCTCCACCACCTCCCCTTCCCACATCTCCTCCACATTGTCCTGATCTCTCTCCTCTCCCTCCCCCTCCTCCAGCGGAAGTCATGGATCTGTTACCATTGCCAGCCTCTCCCACATTCCCCCCTCCTCCCCCAGAAGCTGATGTAAATTCTTCCTATGCCCAGAGTGCCCCATGGTTTCCACAAGAAATCTCCATGAGTTCCTTCTCTCCCCCCATTCTTCCTTCTACTACTAGTACTTTTCACTCTGCTGTCCCACCACCAGCACCACCTCTTGATCCCAAGCTGACAAAAGAGGCGATGAAATACTCACAGTGTTCTTTTAAGAAACGTAACCAGGAAGATTCTTGCTACAGTCCAGTGAAACAGCCATTCAGTAAGCAAGACCCATCACGGCCTGTGATGCCCTTAGTAACTACCAAAGCGTTGCAAATGGTGCAGCTGAGGTCTGTGAAAAAAGCGACGGAAGGTGAGCCCTCACCTGAACCTGCTCCTGAAACTGCATCTCAGGAAAAGAGTGCTGCAAGTTCATCACCACAGTCTTCCCTAAAGCCGTCTTTCTCACTAAGACTGAGTAACAGCTTAGGTGAAGAGGAGATAAAAACTCACGGCGCTTCATTTAAAAACTCAGTTCTAACACTGCCTCGGAGCTCTCTTCAGAGTCTCTCTGACCATGTCCCTGAGCTTGATAGTGATCAAAAATCTGCAAGTATAGCGGGTCTAAACAAATCTTTTGATGCTGATTTCCAGGGAACAGCTACGGAAGTTGCACTGGAGTCTTCAGTGCAGAATGAAGACTTCCATTCTGGCTGCATCAGCACGTCACCTCAGGGGTCACCAGCATCTCCAGACAAGACTCAGGTCATGTTGCCAAACAAGAAACCCCCTCCTATTTCAAAGAAACCCAAGCTGTTCCTTGTTGTGCCACCTCCACAGTTAGATCTTCCAGTAGAGAAAATAGCCGATATGAGTGATACTGTGAGAAGCAGAGCAAGCCCAACAAAGAGGGATGCTGTGCTGGCACGCTGCGAGGAGGCGAGGAGCTGTCTCACAGATGGACTCACTGCCAGCGAGATGGACTCTGGCAGCCTGGTTCCTGAGGGAGGAGCTGCTGGATTCACCTTCTCCGAGGCTCTGGAAGCTAATGCCTTCATGGTACAGCCTGCTGCATCACCAGCTCAAGAAGCTCCCCGGCAGGAGGAGCAGCCCACTTCCGACGAAGGAAGCAGTTCGGGCAGCAGCCAAGACAGCAGCAGTAACGCTGAGGGGCACCTATCTCAGGACAACGAAAGTGGTGAGTCTGCCTTCTCTGACTCTGCTTCAGGTGGAGCGCTAACTATTTTAAAGAAGGTGGGGAATGTGGGTAGCAGTTGCAGCATTCAGGTCTTCTGTAGAGATTTTGCAGGTTGTGATTAATTTAAACAATAAAGCCTAAGGAAAGTTGTAGGATCAGATTAATGCTTGAGATACATATATACATATATATATATAAATATATTATTTATTTCTCGACTAATTATTGCTGCAGATATAACAAAGTGGTATTAGGAAATAAAATTTTTGCCTTACTTAGCTTTGCTAGCTTAAAAATGCTAGGAAAAGGTGGTCAGCTTTGTAAATTTTAATTCTGCATTTTAATATAAACCATAAAATCCATCCTTCAGTCTTGTCCTCCCTCTGCATGTGTGTGAACAAGTATAGGCGTTTCATTCCCTGCAGTTTCATAAGCGAGTGTGGATCTGAAATCACCATAAGGTCAAGGATATATTCACTAAACCTTTCGGATGTTCCGCCATAGAAGCAGTGAGGGCTGGTTTCAGGGTTATGTGGCTTTTGGGATTACCATCATGAATCATCCTGTTTATTCTTTCTGCCTAGCCGAGGTGTTTGAATTGGATACAGCAAATAGTTCATTCCTTCCCAGCAATAGTTATGGGGAGGAGACAGACGGGGTGGCAACACCAGCAAGACCAAGGACTACTGAGGATCTTTTTGCAGCCATTCACAGGTACTGTGGAAATTGCCTTTCCAGTACTGTCCAGCCAGTTAATTCTTTCAAATTTTAATGAACATTGTTTTCCTAATGCACCTAGTAAAAACAGTTGTGCTTTAACTGAAAACATGCATTTGTTGACTTTGTACTAAGACTCGTATGAAAAAGATAAGTAGAAGTACTTGTGTCTTATGTTTTACAAATATGTTTAACCTGTTCTGAACTTAAAGCTCCCCAGTTAAATCCCTGTAGATGGTATTATTAATATCCTGCCACTTAAAATATAAAATGACATCTAGTGTTTATTGTACTGTTCTCAATCTGCCATATTAACTCTACTGTTGCTCTCTCTGTGTATCTTTTTGTTTTCATTCCTGTTCTTCTCCATCTCTTTTATTCTCTTCGCTGCTTATATGGTGCAGTTTGGGACAGAGGCTCAACGCTAATGCTTCATGGCAAGCGTGGCTGAAACTGGCAAGTAGCACAACATGTCAGTCATATGGCAAAACATATGGCAAACGCTGGATTATAGTTTGCCATAATCCAGTCTGAGGTCGGGTGTCTTATTTCAAACTGGTTCATGAATGAAATGTGTAATACTGGCTCTATTATTAATGTCATTATTAATTTCCCTCAAAATCAAAATCACCCCAAATAGGCAACTAGATTTTCATGCTGTTCACTTTAGGTTTTTACCAAAAAAGCTTAAAAAGACACAAAATGAAACATAACACCATTTAAACAGTGCACACAGAAGACCATTAACACTCTCTGAGCTGGCATTTAGACTAGTTGCGATGTAGTAGTGGTGCCATCTTGTGGCTCTGTGATTTACTTCAAACTTTACAAGGACCCTCTCTTATCTGGTCACAAAAAAATGTCCAGTGGTATCTCAGTTATTCACAGTGGCATCTTATTTAGTCATCTAGGCATTTAGTCAGTTTGTACCCATGTGCCTGACTCTCACAGCAGGGATGTTTATGGGACAAAAGAAATGTTGTGTATGAGCATGGCAGAGAGATGGGAGGCTGAACTTAAGGTGCAAACGCTATTTTTTTGAAACAGTTCTCATTATTTCAGATATTTAAAAGTTTCACAGATACATACTATACTATATAATACTGATTTTTTTAACTTACTGCTCTCTCTTAGGACTTGGCCTATGAGAGCGGTTCTAAAAATGACCTCCTGCACTCTTACTGTGCATGGCACTCGTTAGGAGTGAGATGAATCTGTGTGCAGAGTGAAACACTCTGTCCAGTGAGTGTCTTCTCTTATGTGTGCGGTTACAGAGCGGGTCCCTGGGGATCCACATACAGGGAACTTATACTGGGGAAATGGACAATGGAGCTGGTGGTGACATAGTTAAAATGGTTACATTTGTTATTAATTTGTTATTACACTTTCATTGGCATTAGACTTGAACCACCGCCTTCCTTTGTTGTTAGCTCGTAAAAAAAAAGGCTTTGTTTGTTGCCGCTATTTTAAACAGGCATTACTTCAGTGCTTGGCGCTCTTGAATCTGTCTTTGGGCAAGACACATTTAGTGGTATGTTTGTTAAGGGCAGGAGAATGAGAGGGTCGGTCTCCGGTTAGGTCACAGGCCTGTTTGATCATGTATCCCCTCTCCCCTCCTGAGCAAAGCCGCCAAGCCTGCGTTTGGCTCAGTGTTAAGTCACTGCTGTGACGTATTACTGGGAAGAGCTGGATGCATGCTGGCAGCAAAATTATCTGGAATGTTTTGGTGCTTGGACTGACTGCTACTGTTTACCACATTCACTGCTACTTCAACCAGGCTTACTGGCCTTCCTCTGCAGGTCTTTCAGAGTGCAGTTTGCTTTATGTTCCTTCGGAGTTTCCTTTGTTTTTGGCAGTGTAAGAACCCCAGCATTGGGAGATTCCAAGATACCCCCAGATAGCTAAAATCCTATTGAAGGGACTTGGCCTAGAGCTGATGCCAGCGTGCGCTTTCACGCAGATGTGCAGAGCGCCGAAGCATCAAGTTCACTTGCAGTCTGCAGCAGTGAGCTGCAGTTCAGTGTAGACGGGGCTTTTGTGTCAGCCAGTGCTAAGGCATCGTTTTACCCTGCCTCTGTCTCTGTTGTCCGTTCATCCTGCCACTGAATGGATGTCACTATTTCCTTCTGTCGGCGCCGACGGTGGAGGCCTGAAAGTATCAGCTGTTGCAGTTGCCTGGGGGGATTCTAGGCTGCGTCTGCCTGAAATAACCAGCGAGAGAGACAAGCTTGCTCCAGAGCACTGGCAGGCTTTAGGGCGATGCCTGTTCCAACACCCACTCACCCCGTGGATTCAGCTACTTTGTTTTTAATCAAGCAGCCTATTTATTTATTTATTTATTTGGGTAGGCTGTAATGTATAAAGCCTTTTGAGTTTGCCATGGCAAAATCTCAAGTCCTGTAAGAAAGTAGAGCTAAAGATCCCATGTAACTGGGAAAGCAATATGTTTTACAGGATGACACGTGCTTCATAAAAACGAATATGGAGTTACAGGATGTACATCCTGTACTTGTAACAAGTCTGCTGACTTGTTTAAGATGTTTTGCAAATTTGTGTATGAAAAACTAGAATTTATACAGTCTTTTTCAATTCATTCTTCTTTAGTTCACAAAGAAAGCAAGCAGCTTAGCTACAGATAACAGACATTTAATACATCCTTTCTGTTAAGGTTTCTTATGAGTAAATAATGGGACAACAGAGGTCCAGTTTTCACATATTCCCATGCCCATTGTTATTTCTTAATTTCATTTATGTTATCACCGCACTTTATATTTAAATCAAAAACCACTCAGCCCTTTTGTTGGAAAAGATAACTTCCCTGTCTCAAGCCAGGAAGGTTTCCTCCTTCCTTTAGTCAAAGTTCTACAATCGTGCAGTAGCAGCAGAGCAGTGTGTTTTGACTGTGCGCTTATTAGAAGCTAGAAAACTCCATTTTCACTACCCATTTTTTTTTTCTTTTCAAATGTAGATGTAATGTAATTACATGTAATGTAATGTAATGTAGGTGTAATGTAGAACAATTCTCTCTGGCTCATTTTACTAAATATGAACTTTTGAAGTAGTGCCTTGCAATATCAATTTCTAAAGTCAAACACCTTAAACTACATTTCTGATTCTCCAAAGAGCATCAGGGGCTTTGAATGAAATAGTACAAAAAAAAGGGGGAGAAAAAAAAAGCAACAAAGCAGATGCCCTATTTTTAATCAAACCTCCAAATTAACAGACAAATGGCATTAAGAATTATTTTAATAATGCATTAATTTTAGGCTCAGTTGGGTAATGACTCCATACCATTTATTTTGTTAAATATGTTGGAATGATTTTGGACATCAGTATTGCCAGTTATAGCAGTTTCATTGTTCCAGATTTGCAGAAAAAGAATCATTAACTTATCCCTCCATGACTTGCATTAATTCTTAGGCAGTTTTGGTGGTCTTCCTACTCATACTTTAGATTGAGATTACTTTTCCCTCCTTCCTTCTCTTCTTTAGCTTAATTCATTGTCATCCTTGTAAGATGAGATTAATTAGGGGAGACAAAATTGTGTTTTGTTTTGTTTCATCTGGTCAATGTTTCTGTTTTCCAACCTCAGATCCAAAAGGAAAGTCCTTGGCCGTAAGGATTCTGACGACGATCGTTCCCGCAACCACTCTCCCTCACCCCCCGTGACTCCTACCGGTGCTTCCCCAACCGTGACTGCCCTCAGACAGGCCGGCTCCATCCAGAGGAGCGTTCGCAAAAGCAGCACCAGCAACGACAACTTCAAGGCGCTGCTGCTGAAGAAGGGCAGCCGCGGCGACGGCAGCTCCCGCATGTCGGCGGCGGAGATGCTGCGGAGCACGGACCCCCGCTTCCACCGCGCGCGAGCCGACGCTGCCAGCGACCTCGCCGACAACCCCGCCAGCGGCTCCCCCAGCAAAAGCAGGCGGGCCCAGGAGGAGTGGGCCAGGAGCGAGGGCCTCATGCCGAGGAGCATGTCCTTCTGTGGCACCAGGTACGGCCGCTCCCGAACGCCCCCCTCTGCTGCCAGCAGCAAGTACAGTGTTCGCAACCGCATCCAGAGCAGCCCCATGACTGTCATCAGTGAGGGAGATGGGGAGCTGGTGGAGCAGTCGGAGGGCAGAGTTCGCAGGACTTTGGAGGGGCAGCAAGAGAGGCAGCTCGATGTGTTTAACAGTGATGAAGTGGACACAAATGACTTTCCATACGCTGAGGACCCTGGCTGCAAGGAGACCTTGGATCCAAACCATGTAGACTTAATGACTCAACCAGGTACTTCACGGAAGTATCTAAGCCCTTCAACTGAAGAGAGTTAAGAGGCAATGACGAAAGGCAACACGTGTTAGTCTAGAAAATGACAGAGGACTGTATCACAGAAGAAAGCCCAGACCAGGACAAGTTTTCTTTGCTGAGCATTTATTCCATGAACTGCATGTGTGTGCTTAAATGCTGAAGCAATGATAATTCTGCATGGTTGGGTTGGGGTGGGAAGGACTTTGAGTGGTCTGTGGCTTAAAGAAAGTTGAAATTCTTGTGTAAAGCCTTAGAAGTCCTCTTGGGGCGGGCGAGGGGGAGCATTCTCAGAGCCTTTCGGGGTGTGATGTTTTTCTTTTTCTCGAGACTGCAGTTGTGCGAGCAAAACTTAGGGATAAACATGAAAAAGGCATGGGAAGGCTTCTGTGGCACGAGCTGACAACTTGCTTCAAAAGCATTTTATTGGTGCAACACAGGACGTTCATTAAGCACAGGGAGGTTGGATGGGGCACACTCACCTGTGAGAAGATGGCAGATTTGGCGCTGGGGTCTCACGGCTTCTTACTGGGATATGCACCGGTGTTAGCTGAAGCACGTTCTGCTAATGCAAATAGGTCACCAGATTATCAATTGGATGACGGAACTTCTGTTTTTTTTTTTTTTTTTTCCTGAGGGAAAATGAAATAGTTCACACGGAGAAGGGAGCATAGGTTTATAACACAGTACTAGCTGCTGTGCAGCCACACATGCCCACTTCTGGCATGAAACATTAATTTTCAAGTGAATTGCTTCCTTGAATAGCATATTCCCTTAGAGAGCTGGAGTGACTGGATGTGTGCAGAGCATGTAAACCAACAACAGACAAGTGGGAGAGGACTTGAGCAAATACCGCCAGAGTTTGAAAAGGTTCGGTTTCTGAACTAAAAACAAAATCTGACTTTGAGAACTTGCACTACAGAGCTGTAGGCAGAGCCAATCTTTCAGAATTGAAACGTGGGAGTTATGTTTTTCCAGAAGTCTTTCTTCTATTTCTTGAAATGGAAAGGTTATTGCTTTTCATCACTTGAAATCGCGGATACTTGCTAACTTTCGGTTACCAAAGAGTAAGTTACAGTTACTTTCCTTTTTGATTTGCCTGCAGTATTCCTTTTCTCTCTAACCGTAATAATTTAGTGAGGTTTGTTTTTATTGTATATTTTACAAATAATAAAAAACATTTAACGGTTTTCCAATTGTAAAGAAAACCATTAACTCTGATTCTTAGTAGGAATGAAGCTTTTAATTTTTAAGAAGAATTTTGCATCATTTGATGGCGTGCGCAGTTTTTGTATTGTATGTAAATACTGGAAGTTGTTAAAATATCTTTTGATCTCCCTATGGTAGGATTTATACATTTTTAGATTGCTTTTAAGAAGAAAAAGCACTGCTTGTAGATTATTTATTTTAGAGAAAAATGCTTGTAATCGCTTTCCTTGATCCTTTCCTGTAAATTTCAGGGGCTTTCGTTTAACTCTTGCTTTCACAAGATGGGGACAGAGATGAAAATGCTGTGACTTTGCTTCAATAAAGGAAAAGGCTGCAAGTTGCCATATTGTCTTTTGAGTTGATTAAAATCTCATTCAAAAGATGTGTCCAGCAGTGTATGGCAACAAATTGAAGGCTGCAAACCAGACATCCATCTACTAATCTCGAATTTCTGCTGCGAAATTTGCCGGTTCAGTGTAGAGGCAACTAAAGAGTACTTACATATTCATCCCATTTTAACATGTCAATGCTCAGACTAAATGACTTAATTCTAAGCTTTTTTTCCAGTGTCATTTTTGTGCATTTCTGCTGCTTCCCTTTTATTGGCAACCTGTCCCACAGAACCTAAATTCTTGGTGACACCGATGGTAGGCAGAGGGAGTGAGGAGGAAGTGGAAGGTGAATCCAGCTGTACGTGATGGAAGAAGAATAGGATGAAGTGGTGCACGGTCGCCTTTCTACCGTGTTTGCACATAAAACATTTAAAGAAGCTTTTGATTATTGGAATTAATTTGAAACGTAATTGGAGCCTTTCCAATGTTATTAATACTGATCTGAACTACAGACTGTTGCAAGAAGCAATGCTAGACATTCTGCAACTGTTGAGTTTCTAATGAAAGTTGGTGGTAGTTTTTCTCCCAGATTTAATCACACTAATGTCATTTTGTAACATCAGATGCTTTCCTTTTCTTAGCTGTGTGTAAATAATCCTCATAGCACCATCATCACAAGCAGGTACTCAGGCTTTATGTTACTGTTTACAAATGGGGAAATAGTGTAAGGCAGCCAAACCCTGCAGTGCTGCTGTGGAGCTGTGGGAGTTTGCACCTGAAGGCCCTTGCTGGGGCACGGTGAGTTTGGGCTGAGGCTCAGCTGTGGCTAGTGCGCAGGAGGCCGTGTTCATTTAACTCTGTCCGTGTTGCTAGAGAACTGCATTTTACACACTGTAAGGTGTAGTAAAACAGGCAAAATATGCTGAAATTATGTTTTAATGGTGCTTATTTATTTACATAACTGATAATATTTTCATATGGTGTTGTCACCATTGATCTACTCTGCCATGTTCCTGTGTAGGTGTCTTCAGCATTGTATAGGGGCTCAGGTTTTTTGGCCTTCGGAGCACAACAGCTCTAGGATGTGTTGCGGAACTGGTGGCAACTTCGGTGCAATGTAATTGTGCTGTGGAAAGCAGTGCTTCATTTTATGTCACAGGTTCAACTTCAAAGTCACTTTCTTGCATTAGAAATTTCCTCCTTAGGAAATGTTTGCAGTTACGGCTTTACTGGTCAGCAAATGTAGATTAAGTTTAGTAAATCTATGCCAAAGACATCCAGAGCACTAGGAGGAGAGGAAAAATATGTGAATTTTGGCCATGCTAAGGAGAAAGAGGAGTCTGTTGTTATCCCGATGCTCAATTTAATCATGCTGTTACAGGGCTTGTTCATAGTTTACAGTTGGTTTACAGCTTGCTTCTTAAGAGAAAAATTGCTATTGAAGCTAATTAGACGTGAACTTAACTTCTGATTTTCCTTTTATGAATGTTTTTTGACTTCAACCTTTTTCTAAACTTTGCTCTGCATTGACTCATTTTATGATTCCTTCACTATATTCATAGTCTTTCCTCCTGTACTCGGATGTATGTAGCCCCAATCCCCATTGGAACTAGAGCTCTTAAATTATTAGAAGGTAATTCATCCTTAACGCTGTGTGGCACTTAGTGAATCTTCCATGTTTGTACATTGGAGAGAGAGAAATTTATTACCTAATTTAAACGAAGGGCGGTTTGGCAAGGAGCAGTAGCTGGGTGAGAGGAGGTTGGGAAGGTCACTGGAAATAAGTTAAAAGAGATTTCAGGAACAAGTGGATTTGATGGAGTTTTGAGGACCTGGGGCTGGCAGCTGGTTTGTGCATATGGTTCAGCATGCAGGAAGGCACAAAATAATGGGCAGAAAAGATGAAGCAGGAAGATTACTGAGAAGAGAAACAGCAAATGCGAAGAATGTCAGTAAGACATTAGGAGAGCAGGTTTATGCAGAACCTTGAAGAGAAAGAAAAGAAGCTTCAGCACATACAGCAAGATTAGAAGGCAAAGGAGCAATTAGGTAGTTGCAGCAAAAGGGAAGAAAAAAAAATAGGCTTTTGTGTTTCTTTGCAATCTGAAGGGGAATGAGTTCAGGTAGGCCAAAGACATCCAAACATTTTAGAAGAGGAATAAAAAACAATGAAATAAAATGTCAGCTTAGAAGAGAAGAAATAATAGACTGCAATGAGAGTCAGGAAATGCTGGAGTGAGACAGGACAGTGGAGCTGCCTGCATGTCTTTCATGTCCTGAAATGAAGCGGCTGGGATTAAAGTGAAAATGGGGGGATGGGGATCTGTACTAGGAGACTTGAGGCAGAACTGGAGAGATGACTTGGAGGCTGAAGCAGAACACCACCTGTAATGCTTCTGTTTAATAATTCAGTTGTGCCTGAAAGAGGGCAAGAATATGGGTTCAGAGAGACAAAAGCTCAGATTCATCCTGCCTAATTTCTACCTCCATCCATGTATTCAGTGATTCCCACCGACGAGCTACAGGCCTCCAAAGATGCCTACATTCTGGCAAGTTGCTAAACCTTTCCAGTCATTTCCTGAAAGGGCGTCGTGCATGTGGCACAGGGACAAACACCTTCATAATTTTGCAAGCAAATGCATCTTGTTGGGTGTCTTTTGGATCCTACAAAACTCTGGAAAAATTGTATAGCAGCAGTCACTCCTCTAACAAAGCTGGTGCTAAAGTGTGTTGAAATGGTTCAAAATGATGTATTGTCTGCTTCTATAAGAGACGATTAAAAGGATGAACTTTAACAAGAATAAAATCTGTAAAGAAATTTTAGTGCCATGAGGAATTTGTATCTGTTATTATTCTAAAAACTTTCAGTACTCGTAAGAAAGAACATGAAGGTGTATGTTATTTTTTTGCATTCCCTCATTATACTTTATTTTCTTTATAACAGAGCAATCTTTTCTAATATTTAAGATTAGAAAAAACTTCTGAGACAGAATTGGTAATTTTATTGGTTCAGAAGAGGCATTATCAGACTAAATCAAACTGGAACAATACAAACTTATAGGTATGTAGCCTTGGATCATGACTGTGGCCATACTCATCTGAATTAATATGCACTGAATGGATTACAAAGATGTTTATTAAAGAAGTGCCATGTCATATACTGTAAGACTGAATAAAAACCTTAGTAGTACTTCCACAGCAGAATGAGTACATTTTATCTTGCAAATTTAGCTCCTTGCAGTTAGGTTATGTCACATAATGAGCATACAGCCTTTGAAGGGCCAATCAATTCCTCTCCCAATTATGCTCACGCAAAATCTCATATATTTTTCGTAACAGATTGTCTATTAGTAATAAATCTAAATGTATGTTTATGTGTGCATAAACAGAAGAGAGAGACTGATCCCTATGTGTAACAGTTCCTTCTTAGTCTAGCATATTGCTCTATTTGTGCACCAGACTGGTGTAAACAAATTCTAACTACTGGATATGCAAAAAAAGTAAAAAAACATGAAGATATGTAGGTTAATTTTAGATATTTTCTAAAATGGTTACTGGGGAAAGAGCGAAGAAGGTATCTTCACAATAATCTCAACTTGTCTTTGTCACAGAATTACACACAGAATCACAGAATGGTTGAGGTTGGAAGGGACCTCTAGAGATCACCTCGTCCAACCCCCCTGCT